CAAATTCTTTGTTTTCTAATTCCTCAAGTCAGTGGGAATATGGAGCAAATTAAAATTTTTATTTTAACTTCTATTTTAATAAATAAAATTATAAAATTATAATTAATTTTATATTAAATTTTCTCTAATTTATTTAATTAAATCAAAAAAATATAATTTTCCTTTTCCCTCTTCTTCCCTTATTTTAAATTATCTAAATAAATTTATTACTAATCGTGTCCTATGCTTCTTTTCCCCTCCATTTGCTTCCCTTTCCTTTTCTTTGATTTTCTTTATTAATTTTTTGGAAAATGATTTCAAAACGATATTTTTGTATTATTTTTTGTACAATCTTATTCATTATTTAAATAATTAACTATTTTAATTTATTTGAGATCAGTGATATTGAATACATTCACTCATTTAATAATATATAGAAGTTATTTAAAAATGTGATATAAAAAAGTTATCCTATATCACCGCCATAATTTTTATTCAAAAAAGTTTCAAATTTCTTTAATAATACTCCATTTGACTCAAAATAACTATCTTTTTTTCCTTTTTCTTTAAATTGAAGATTTATGACAATTCATGTATTAACCCATATTATTTTTAGGAAAAAGTTAAAACATAAAGTTAAATTTTTTATTATAGAATAATTAATTAAAATAAATAGATAATGATATGATTAAATTAAAGAAAAAAAATTTCTTTATTTTAAAAGATAAAAAAATGATAATTAATTTAAAATAAATTCAAAGTAAAAAAATAACAATTATTTTAAGAGATAGAGAGTAGTAAGTAGGCACTCCTGCTATCACTCTCACTCTTCAATGTAAAATATGAAGCTTAAACTAGACTTGATAAAATTGAATTCAATTAAAAAATCTAACTTAACCCACATGATATAGGTAGGATCATGCGTCTAATATATCAATTTGAAATCTAATATGATGCAAACTAAAATTATTTAGATTTGACTAGACTAAATCAAAGTCAGGTCAAATCAACTCAAAGTGATCAAATTAAAATTAATTAATTTTTTTAAAATTTAAAATTTTGATTAATTATACTTTTTAATTTTAGTTTTTAAATATAAAATTAAATTAAATATTATAAAATAGTTATTATTTATTAGATTATTAATGTTCTAAATAATTAGTTGATATTAATTTTTTTTTAAAAATAGAGAGTATATTGCAAATTTTAATTTCTAATTTCCAATCCAAAGAAACTGTAGTAATTCTTGAAAAGTAACGCTCACATGCGAATTTCTTTTTCCTCTGTTTTTTCCTTTGGTACCAATTACATGATCCGAGCAACAGCTCAGAACAACCGTCAGAAAAAAAGTGGGGTTGGGGATTTGTGGGGACTTGTGGGGAGTGAGGAGTGAGGAGTGAGGATGGGCAACCAAAAAACAAGCCATCTGCATCAAGAAATGGCAAATCATTTTCAGAATCTCTGGACCCCCAAAAGCTCAGTACCAACATCTGATTCTTCTCAAAGATTTTTTTTCTTAAAAACAGTTGTTGGTATTTAAAACACTCCCCCTTATTTTAAACTAAAACCCACTGCATGTTTCACCAAAATGAAGCTAAATACACATTCACTAAATTAAGCTACATACAAAACCAATAGAATTGCATGAAATAAAAAAAGGGGCAAGGTATTCCGGTCATTTCCTGGTATATCTGAGGGTAGCTGAGGCACATTTGATCAGCAGAGGACAGGTTCTTCATCAATTATTCTAAGCATGTGGTGAACTGCCCCTGCTATGTCTTCTACTGAAATGAGTTGGCATCCTTCTTCCACCTGTAATCAGAATGTTCAAATTCTTGCCCCAAAATGTTTGGTTTTCCAGAATTGTAAGCAAAGACAAGTGCGTCTAAATAGAAGGAACACTACAATTACAAGCAAAAAGCCAATCTCTCTGCCCATTTTTCCAAGTGTGACATGATTTTAATTAAATGCATTACTGTTTAGTACTAATCATGCATTCAGAAGGTCTTACTTTTGGACAGGATCTATTTGGTTTTTCCAAGATAAGGACTAGTACCATCTCTTCCTAATCATGAAAAAAGGGCAAAACATGCAACCCGTATCCCAATAATTGAAGATAGCATTTATCTTATGGTAAATGGGCTAAAGCACTCAGACCATATCTGTCTTTCAACAAGTTATGAGGCTCCAAGTTTAACATGGTAAAAAAAATGAATAAGTCACGACCTGTAATCTGACAAGTTGACTAATTAAAGACAAAAGAAAGTCAGGGGTTGCATGCATAAAGAAAAGTTCTATTACCTTGGCACTGATGGAGTAGAAAACTAATGGATCCATGGTAGTGACATTAAGGTGGAGGATGGAGAAGTGGAGTGACTGAAAACCGGAAACCAGTCTGGAGAGCTGTCTGGGACATTTTCGCGAGAGAATTCGAAGATTAGCATGGGTTTCGATCAAAGTGACCTCAATATCAGCTATGGCTCCTTTAGTTTTAGATGTATACTTGTTAGGGATCTGAGACCAAGTGTACTGAGGATACAAGAAGAACTGTGCAAATGGTGGAGGCAAGAATTTGGATGCTGTTATATCTTCATTGGCTGCTGCTGCTGCTCTTACTTGTTGAAGCAGTTGGAGCTTTTGAGCCTCAAGGGACTGCAAAAGATGCTCAAGTTCCTTGACAAACTCTATAGCACCACCAACTATTGAAGCTTGATCACCCTGCAAACAAGAAAAATTTACTTTTATATTAAGGTTCTAAAACATTCATTAAATCTAACTAGTGTGACAGTTTCAAGTTCCTTGACAAACTCTATAGCACCACCAACTATGAATTATAATTCCCGCAAAACATCATTTCATTGAGTAAGAAACAGGTCTTGTGTGACAATTTCAGGCTTCAGCATTCACATGACAAAAGCAAACAAATGAATAGTCCAAAAAATATCAAAATGGGAATAATGAAATGGTTTAAAAATTTTCCAATTACATATGAACTTGTTCTGATCTATTTGTTGCAACATTATGCCAAACTGCATTTTGAACCTCGGAATTCATTTAGCTAATCCAGAACTTTACCGAATCACACTGAAAGTTTACCCAGATACAGGAGCTAAAATTGAAACAACATAAAAAAATTCATCTATATTTTACCAATGCAAGCAACAAAAAGTACATGCATCTCTAATTATTACAAATGAGACAGTTGATAACCCATGTTTCCTAATATTCGTATTGCAATAAGCACTGCCCTTGGTTTTCCTTTAACCCTTCTTTGTTTCAGAGAGAAGAACAAGAAAAGAGAGGCAGATAAACGAAGGATGAGGGAAATTATTAACAAACCCTTTGGACATATGATTCTGGCATGAGAGAGCGTAAAACAGCAAGATGCTCATTCATTTGCTTCCTCCGGTTTCTCTCAACTTCAATGTGAGTCATTCTTTGAGTCTCAGCTTCCTCTCTGCTCTTGCAAACCCTTGGCTTTCTCCTTCTCTTCTTCCTGCCTTGCACCTCCAAATTCTGCCTCCGGTCAACAGCCTCCTGCACCATTGATGAGGGGCATTGTTGGGTCCTTGGTGAACAGCAGTTCAAAGCACTAGCTTTCTCTGGGGCGCTCATGCTATTTTCCAAAGAAAAACTGGAGCCTCTGGAGTCACGGTTGCTATATGGAATTGCAGATATGGTGTCATAGATGATGAAGTTCAAGAACTCGTTGGATGAAAGAGCTTCCAGTGCCATTTCCCCTTTGCTCGTAACTACTCACCACACCTCTGAATAAAACTTAATACAAAATGATTCAGAAGTATTTCCTAGATACTTTTTTATTTCAAAGACAAGACTCACTTTTATAGCAGAAGCTAACTCTTCAACATTTTAGAGAGGGGAGGGAGGGTTAAAATGAAGGTAAAGACTTAAGGGTAGGGGGGGCAGTGAAGAGAGAAAGATACGGTGCACGTGAGAGGAGCAGGGAAGGAGTTGTTCTTTTCTGCTTGCGAAGAGCGAGGGAAAAAAAAGGAAAGAGGCTCTACAGTCATCCTTTTTTGGTTTCCTTCTCGACTTCATAGATGCTGTCACAAACACTGGCACTGTTTCTGAAATCGAGAGGGAGAGGGGGACCCAAATCTATATAGAAATATGCATACAAACAACCCAACGAGCTGTGTAAAAGCTACTTTTCACATTCAAATCTGTGTTGTGTTATGCAGGAAATGGCTGGCTCACGTACACTATGGCTAGATTCTCATATTCGTTATTTAGATATAAAGTTTATCATATGTGCTTCAACCACAACCCATTTTATATTCACCTTATCAAAAACTGGATCATGACAATTGTATTGATCTGGACCATTGATCATCACCAATCAGACGACAATCTCTATGAAACTGAAAGAGTCAGTAGTGAAGCCAAACACAGTTAAACAGGATTATAATTTGATTAAAAGAGCCTATTACATGGTACTCTGTTCTCAATACCTGCATTGCGCATAACCACAAAACTCTACAGTCATTGTGATGTCGAACTCCCAAGTCCCTGAAAGTGATATGAGATCTGAAACAAGATTATAACTTCTAACAGCCATTCAACATTTAGCTTCATCGTCCCACAGAGAAAATTTGCATAAGAATATCCTTTTGTCCCAAAGCCTATACAAAGGCTGTCCTAGTCTATATGACAACTTTGAGCCAAACATCAAAACGTGATTGCATCTTTATATACGAAAGTTGATATTTAAAACAATAGTATATAAATGTCTTGTTTTGAACTAAACAGTATAAAGGTATTGTGGAAGGGGACCGTGGAAACAGTATGCATCAGAAAGCAAAAGCCTTGCATATCATATTGCTGTAAACCAAGCCAGTATATGTATTTTCAATGTATAGAACCAGCCCAAAAAATAACTGTATGTATAGAAATCTTACAATAACATTTTCCCAATCCAAAACCACATATACCCCATCCTAAAGAATGAAAATTGGAAAAATTGTTGAATAGGTCATTATTTATCAAGCATCCTAAACATGAGCTTTAGAAAGGGCCCATGTACACACATATATGTACCAATGCACATTACACATTACATTGCAAATCCTGTATATACATACATACAATATGTGTGTTTAGATTATATATATGTGCCATATATATATATGGATAAGTGAGGTGAGACAGAGAGGGGGGAAAGAGAGAGAGAGAGAGAGAGAGAGAGAGAGGGCATTGTTAAAGGAAGAGAACAAAGAGAAATTAACTTTACTTTATCTGGTTATGAAGAAGAGTGTGGTGGTCGACCTTGGACCATGGTCCAAATTGTCAGGCAGGTTGCAGGAAAATCCATGTGAACGTCAGCTTCCTCCTCCTTCAAAATCCCTCATGTGTTGTTCCTTTGTACAATCCAAGGGCATATATAATATGTACACCTCACAGATGCACCAAAACCACGTACAAAAGGAAAGAGATGTATGCATCATAACGAATCGTAGTCTTTGAGATTATGCAGACACCTCTGTGGTAGATGATATATCAGCAGAATTGGCATACCCCAAAGATATCTCAAGATATTGCGTGTGCATGTCAATGTGAATTAATGTTGGTATTCCATCATGCTATTTTATCATCTAAGGGACCATTTTTAAGTTCATCCTAATTAAATGATCTTATTTAATGCAGAATATGTACTTGGCTGCAATCCAGTTAATTTTTCATTTTTGGCCAAAGAAAACTCTAGAGTCCATATCACAGACAAAAAAAAATATTGTACATTATACTAAGGAACTGTTCAATGAAACCTAGGAATTTGAATTATCATTGCTTTCCTGAATATTTTACACAGTGAACCGACAACATTTTTAACCTGATGTTATGCCATCAAAATTTATGAGAAAAATTGTTTTTTTTAATCTAAATTGCATGCAATCCATTAATCAAAATTTAATAAATATATTTTAGTACTTTTATAATCCAATTAAAAAATATCAATCTCAAAATTTATAATTTCAGTTATAAGGGTCAAACAAGGAAAAAAAAAGATTTTATTAAAAAAAATAAAAAGCGGAATATCTTAAAAAAATCAATCAGAAATTCTGTTGGAAAAAGGGTAAAAAAAATTGATCGTCTTGGATGGAGCTTCGAGGAGAAGAGTATTCGGATCGGGTCGGGTCGGAACCAAATGGAACGATTCGCGAATCCGATCATGTTATTTCGAGAATTTTAAGGAGCGAGAGAGAGTTTTTTTTTTATTGAATAATTAAAAAAATTAAATAGCAAAAAGTAACCACACTATTGAGTTCTTAAATTTAATTATTTTCTTTGTTTTAGCCCTGAGCTTAAATCCAAAGGCCATCTTTGTTTCCTCAGAAGAAACTCTACCAGAGTCCCGATGATTATGGTTGTTTCTAACCCATGCATGCCTTGCTTCGTCTGTATCCGATATCACAGATAATTTAGAAAATGATTTAAGAATAATTTTTTATATTATTTTTAATATAATTTAATGTATTATTTAAATAATTATTTTTTTCATTTATTAAGATATATAATATTAAATATATTAATTTATGAGAATAGCATTTATTAGTTTTATCTCTTAAAAATTAAGAAAAATATTATTTCAAAATAACGTCATTTTAATAAACACCTATTAAAAAAATTAAAATATTTTATTTCTAAACCATAAATTAAAATGTTTTTTTCTTCTTAATTTTTTAAAAATAAGACAGACAAACACTATTCTTAATTCATTTATATCTAAAAATTATATTGTTTAAGTGGAGAAAATCTCACATCCAGTATTAAAGTAAGAAACTTATGGGCTAAATACAAAAAATGTCACTTCATCTATTGTCAAGTGATTTTAGGTTGAATGCAAGCCTTCTGTTGAGCCCACATACACAGTTTTTAATATGGTATCAGAGTTCAGATTCTGTCGTGAATGGTATTAGAACTCAAGTTCTGTCCTAAATAGTATTAGAGCTCAGGTTCTATCTTGAGAAACTCGTTATCAGCCCACTTAATAGGATCCGAAAAGTACAAAGCTTGTATTTAAAGAGGTATGTTAACTCATGTGACAGGATTCAACATTCATAACAAATCTGTCACACGCAACATTTATAACAAGTTTGCACGTGAGGGATGTGTTAAAGTGAGAAAATCCCACATCAGGTACCTTAGAATATTTTCTTTATAAACACCTATATATAAGTTATTATACATATAATATTATTCAGCTTATAAGTTAAATACAAAAAATATCACAAGTCTTGTGTCTACCCACATGCACAATTTTTAACATATATAAAAAAATACAAATCTGTATCACCTGCAAGAACATTCTCAAAAATCAAAATGATACGAATTCCTAGGAAAGAGCTACTTCCTTGTTTGGTTCATAGGATTCCTCCAAATTTCTATATTTGTTTTCACCCTGCATGGTTATCTCCGTCTCCCATAATTTAAATCACAAGTTGAGAAGGAAGCTGAAGGAGGATGTAGAGCATTCAATGTTTTCTCCTTTGAGAAGAGAAGATGGCAGCTGTAGATGGGGAACAGAAGCCCATAGCAGGGAAGGAATTCAATTGGGCAGTCAAATATCAACCCAAGACATTGAAGGACTTCATCTGCCACAAAGACATTGCTCAAAAGCTTGAAACTTTGGTGAGATTATGCATGTATTCAGTAGAATAGAAACATTTTTCTGGAGATAGTTTAGTAATGATGAATTTACAGATGAGAAAGGGGGAGGGGGATCATTTCATAATTGAAGGACCTCCGGGTGTGGGGAAAAGAACATTGGCTTTGGCAATGCTTAGGGAAAAACTTGGAGTAGACATCTTAGAGGTATCTGATTTTGCAGAAGCTTTGTTAAGCAAGTATGTGACTCCTTTAATTGAAAGATTTTAGTGGTGGGTCTTATTTTGTGTAACAGACAAGGCTGGAATTCAAGACATTCAATATGGAGGTCAGCTTGAAAATTATTGTTTCATCATTTTGTGAGTGTATCTTGAGCCCATCCTGACTTCAAACAGGATCTATATAGTACAAATGCACTAAGCAGAAAAAAAAAAAAAGAAATTCCCACTTGTGCAGATTGAATTGCCATTAAGTATATAATAGTTATACTGGCTTTGTACTTCTTGTTAGAATGCATCAAAGGGAGGGCTAAGTTCCAGTATCCAATTTCCAATATAGGTATCCTCTGAACACATAGAACTCGATCTCTCCGGTTTAAAAGAGTATGCAGCAGATATGGTAATGATGCTTATTGAGGAAGGAGAAACTGGTTTAGTGAAGCAGCAATCCTGCAGCAGCATCAAGTTAATGTCAAAGGTAAATGCATGTCTTATTTATAGCATTGAAAATGTTGACATAGATCTTCGAAGTTAATTTCTTTCACCTGTGTTTCTACAGCAATTATTTTTCGCAAGGCAGAAAATATTTCGAAACATACCCCCAACTCCATATCAGAAGCTTCTTGGAAAATTGCGGAGGTCATTATGTAGTATCTTCTGTTGCTACGATATTCTTACGCTTCAAAATCTCTGTCCCCTCGGCAGAGTTATTGAGCTTCATCCACCTCCCGATGCAGAGGTAAACACTGACAACGATTCTTTTTCTTTCTCAAGCATTTCATTATTTTTTGCAAAGTTGTTGATCACACCATTCAAACTTTAGATCCTTGGAGCCTTGAACTTCATTGCAAAACAAGACGACATTCAATTGCCTCACCAGTTGGCCCAAACTATGGCACAGAAGTCCAAGAACTGTCTTCAACAAGCTATTCGTTCATTTGAAGCAACCCTGCGGTCAGGGTGAGTAAAACAAGTTGTAAATATACCTTTATAAAACATTATTTTCACAATCTCGTCCCAGTTTAATACCACTTTGTATTTGATTTTTGATACCTTAAAAGGATAGTTTTGGTGGTGACAATGCAATCAATTGTAAGAATGTTTTCTGTTTTTTTTTCAAACTTTTGCCTAGCATTTGCCATGCTATGTTTACAGTTATCCCTTTAAAGAAGATCAGTTGATTGTAATTGGCTGGGAAGATGAATTTGCATCCATAGCCCAAAGTATCATTGAAGAGCAAAGCCCAGGAACGTGTAGTATCTTTCTCTTGTAGATATTTAGCTTTGTATATTCTTTGTGCTAATTTCACCATTTTCTCATGATTCACCCTCCTTTTACAATTCAGCTTGTTTCTTGTTAGAGGAAAGCTGATAAATTTGATAGAACTCAATCCTTGTCCCCAGTTCATTTTCAGTGTAAGAGTTTTTTTTCTGGCTTTATTTTATTTTGTGTATGTGAGTGTTTTCAGGCTTAGCACTAAGCACCAAAAAAACAGCCATCTTTCTTCTTCTGCAGGGTCTAGTGGGAGAATTGATGAAGACTGTGGACAACAGATCCAAGTTGGATATTGAAAGTCTATGTCAGGAATTCGGGGAAAGTGTAATAGGAAAAAATATATACACACACAGTCTTTTTCTTCTCAAAACACAAGATTCTAATCAAGTTACATATTTTTGTTTTGTAGCCAAAGCTTATTGGAAATTATTATGAAGAAAGAAACATAATCAGTTTCCAAGATAAATCTTTGGACAACAGAGGGTGAAAGAAATTATTACTATATCTTTTTATGGTAGAAGGTAATCAATTCCCAAACAATAATGTTTAGGTCATGATATCTTTTTCTTCCTCTCATGTAATCTGTGCAGCCAATTGCAGGCAAAAAGAACAGAAAAAGGCAAACAGTTTCATTAGAGACAATGAAGATGATCAGACAGATATAGATGAGTGAGAAAGAGGAAGAAAAATATGTTCTGTATCTCTGCATTATATGCTCATATGGTTATACCATGGCTGTTCTAATTTGCAACAAGAAAATAAGCTCTGTCAAGGAAAAAAAAAAATAACCCATTCTATGAAACATGAATATTTTCAATTCTGAAATCTGTTATTGCTATTATTTTCTAAATAGTGCTTCTACACATTTCTTTTACTTATTCATCTGACTTTTCTTTTTACTAATAGAATCTCAAAAAACAAGTGCCTATTCTATGAGAAGAGATCGGGGGAAGGGGAACAGGGATGATGAAAAAGGAGATTGATCATACTCATACTCTATTGATGTTTCCTCTGGAGCACTCTGCCCCATCACCAAAACCTCCATTCCTGGAGGCGATAGGGCTTGAGAATTCTCCAAATGTTACACAACTTACCGCAGAGTGTTGTCCTTTAATGAATTTAAGTTGGACGACATTCTCTAGCAATCTCAATGTATATCTATCCTCTTCTACATTATTATGTATTGAATGCCCTGTTGAATGAGACCTTGAAAATCTTTCAAGCTTTTCGCGTCTTTCCTTCTGTTCTCTTGCATCGGAAGAGGCTTGTGGTGCACCGCCTTCCCCTCTGCCTTCTTGATCACCGTTATCTTCTTTAACCTCAATGCTGATTGCATCCTGAGGTGAGGCAATACTTTCCCCAAGTTCATGCATGGAATGGCTATGGACCAGCATTGGAGATTTTTCCAGTAACTTTTCGGACAATTCAAGATCCTTGCGACAAACTGGACATGTTTTGTGTGATTCAAGCCAAAGATCAATGCATTCTTGGTGGAAAACATGGTAACAAGTCGTCAAAAGGCGGAGCATATCATCATCCCCAAACTCTACCAAGCATATTGAGCATTCTAGGCCATACTTTTCCCGGTAAAAATCTTTGACGGTAGAGTATTTGAACGTGGGAAAGGATTGTACTAGTACAGGATCAAGGCCAGGATTCATGGATGTTGCGGTGGTCCCAACCAAAGCACCGGAGGGGCTCTGGTGCATATTCACCGTGTTAAGGATATTTGTCATGACACACCTACAAAAGCATAAAGAGAAAAGGCCAATGAAGAAGCAAACTAAGAGAATGACGGTGAGAACAATGGTGAGCAGATGGGGGCTACTGGGTGACGGTGGGAGGACGTTGGAAGTGGAATTGAACGACATTGAGAATGCAAAGCAATACACTAGATGGTGGCCGGAGAATCTGAAGTTCCAGCCTCAGATCAGACCTTTGCATTGAATGAGAGAAAGTTAGGGAAAAGAAAAGGAGGAGGTTGAATGAAAAAAATGCTATTAAGCTTTGAGAAAAATGGTGGTGGCCTAATTTGGGAAGGTTGGTTTTTTGTCCTTGGCAGGAAACATGGTGATTGAGCGAGTCCACTGTGAGAAGGATGAGGTCCCTTTTTACTATTGCCAGCCAACAGACACATTATCATGGTGTGGCTCTTTGATAGGATTCAATTGTGATATTGATACAAAAGGTGGAATTATTTTGTAATGTCCCAAAAATTTGTCCTAATTTATAAATATAAACAACCTCTTCATTGTTTCATATTTTAGTATAGAGTTTATTATTTTGCAGCCTGAACTGCAAAATAAAAACCTATTAGATGGAGATATAACCCCATATCAAAAAATCCACCTATATCTAATGATTTTTGTTTAGTTTATCATCTGGTATTTTTTTCTAGTTGCACTCCAGCTAAAGATATTTTGTTCACCGGTTCTATAATTGGCATGACTTCTTTATGAGGAAACAGGTTGCCTTGTGGATACACCGCTACACTGTCTTGTAAATAACCCTAATTAAAACAAGACTTGACAAAATGGGAGTGAGCTAAGAACACAATTTGTATCTTATAGAAAAGTGGAACGAAAGATAAACAGCTGTCTCTTGAGATTCAGTTTTTGTTTCTCTAGCAAACATGTGGTTACAAGCACAATGAATACAGAAGTAATACAAGCTTCACATTCCCATATCTGAGTAGGAACCAGAGACTGAAACTTGGGAGGGAGCAGAAAACCACTCTCCAGCTCAAAACCAGAATCTAGGTGACCCCTTTTTCCTAACATCTAAATCTTTCATCTTCTCATGAAAAAGGTTCTTTTAAGTAATTTCAGCTCACGTTTCTTACTTTCCAGCGTTTGTAGCACAACATTCTATTCAATATCATCAAGCCAGTCACCATATATCCTACTGATTTTGTCTGGACCCTTCCATTTCTGATGAGTTCTTTGTGGCCTCTGGATTACAATTGGTGTCCTCTGTGAAGGTACCCCAATATGATAGACATCAGTATGTTGAACTGAAGGAACTGATGCAGTCACGGCATCTGATTGAGTCTTTGAGGGTACTCCCCCTTGCTTTGAGTCAGAAGGAGCAGCAGCAGAAGAATCTCTAACTTCTCCCTCCACAAGGCCCCCACCATATCGGTGCAATTCTGTTATCAAATCAAAAAGAAAAAATCATTAGCATGGCAATTAGGTAATATAAGGCATATGAAAAAAATTGTAAAAGAACCAAAAGTTTTGTTAATTCCAGCAATCATGACAACATTTATATCAATGTCCTTCATGTCGCAGCCTAAAATGATATGCATAACAGGGTTATTAACATACTTGACAAATAGAGACTAGTATGGTAATGGCATAAGTTAATGGCCCCAAAAAAAGGGTAACAGCATTAGGTTAGCTTTAACAAGGATCTAATTTGACAAAAGAATTCCAACTCTAGAAAAGCTTTCAATCAGACAATCCAACAACTGGACTTGTATTAATTGCTGTCAACAAAGAGGCCTCGGTGGGATGATAACAGGGGCCTGGTGAACGCTACTAACAGAAGTTCATAAATTAAAACCAGAAGCACATATTGCTTTTCATGAGGAACTCCCCATTGCTAAAATCGATACATTTGGACAACTAGGTGACACTGAAACTTACTAGAGATCTCTGATAAGCTGAAACATGACTTGCAGGGCCATTATCATGACATTTGGAAGTCATTAGAAAATAGTGAAGTAAACAGTGCAAAATCAATTCTCAATTTTTCGGACAAATAAGAAGAGACATTTTATCTAACATTGCTCCAACTTATAACAAACAACAGTGAATTGAGGAGACTCTTCAGAAAGATGACTTTTTTGAGAGGTCCATTCGGAAATCTTTATCTACCTAAGAAAACCAAACTTCCCGAGCACCATTTAGAAGCCTGAAGTAAATATTCAGTTCCAAGATGCACATACATCTTAGAGATCAACATTGCAGATTCTAGATGCCTACAGTACATGAAATAGCCAAAATAATAATAATAATAAAGGAAGGCATGTCTTAATTCTGATTTGAGAGTCAAGACAGAACTGCTTCAGCACCTTTTAAAAGCAGTCAAAGGTGGATAAACTCTCATTCCTACACACCATAAGGAACTCATGTTGAATAGCACCTATCTGTAAAAGGACCAGACCAAGTCTCACGATTTAACAGGGACCAAAGTCCTCAAATAGAAGGTCCAGCCACTTAAAAACTTTCCCACAAAGCAGCATTCCAACCAATACAGAAGGCCTAAAAAAGACTTAACAGTTAACAGGCAGAAATCCCCTCATTGCCATGGTTGTTATAATATAGTAGGCCATTGAAAAACCATATCCATCTACGATAAATTGCAGTTTTTTCCAGATAAGACACTCAAAGCAACACAACAATTTTTTGCAAATTGAGGTCTTGTTATAATGAATATCAAAACCAACAACAAAGAAGTGCCAATCATATATCCTCTCCATTTAACTAGACCAAAGAAAATGAAAGAAACAAGTAAATCAACAACTGATGCATAAGCCTTACCTGTACTTCCATGAGCAAAATGGCACTTATTTCCAAACGGGCAGTAACCTGTAAGCTCCCACTTATTACAAATCCTAGTCTTCCAATTCGAAGGTTTGGAATTTGATCCATTCCCACCTCCACCACCATATCCTCCAGGCCCCAAACTTATAGCCACACTCTCCCTATTCTTCGACTGCTCATCGTGCAAGAAAGTGCAACTATCACCATACGGGCAACCCTCCTCAGTATAAAACTTCTTGCAATGCCTCCATTTATATGACCTCTGCGTGTCCCCTCCAAAATTTGGAGACACTACGGAAGGAATTTGAAATTCCTCTCTCGGCTCTGATAAGCTGCCTTTCTCATCTTCATGGGCAGCCACTATCTCTTGCCAATTCGGAGGTGGGCGTCGAAGCTCCTCCATGCTGTGAGCAAAGTTGCAGTTGGAAATATAGGGACAGGTACCAGCCCTAAACTTGCAGCAGAGCTTGGTCTTGAAAAACATCTTCCCTATAGCTTTTGATCGGGAATTCACTTCCTGTGAGTTTCTGGGTTTCTTGTTGGACTGCTGCTCGCCGTTTGAGCGCGACTGCCGCTGGTCGTAGTTGAAATTCGCATCTGCGGAGGCCTCGTGGTTGTCCCAAACGCGGTAATCCTCTTCCGTTGCCCAGACGGAGGCGTCCAAGGAATTCGGAAGCCAATTCTCGGGTCCATTCGTTGGGATTACATGAACCACATTCTCTCTACCGTAATCCATAGTGACCAAAACTTCGAAATACTGGGTGGAGATAAAAACCCTAGGTTCTGGTATAAAGATTAAAGGAGAAAACAGGAAGAAAGCGAAACACCCAGGAGCTAAACTTCATGAGAATTGAAATTAAACACTGGAATTTTACTGATTTCCCAGATGGGTACTCAAATTACACATCTAGGAAGATAAACTCGCCGGAAAATATACAAACAATAAGAGGCACAACATATTATCAACAAAAGGCAAGCCGGAAGAAGGGAAATCCGATGAAAAGATTCAAGCTTTAGATCTAGAACCTTAAACTCTCAGAGTAACAGATAGATAAACAAAGAGGAAATATTGCCATACATGGACAGAAATTGATTTCGAAATTTTTGAGATAAGAATTTGTTGAGTTAAAGAAAATCAAGATTCCAGAAGACTTCCAGAGTTGCATGTGAGGTAAGATTGAAAAATGGTTTTTCTATTTATTTATTTATCTTTCTGCAGGAGAGGATGAAATGGTTATTAAACACCAGCAATCAAAGAAGCCCGTTGCAGCGGAGACGAGGTGAAAGAAAGTGTTGCGTGTTTTTTTTTTTTTTTTTTTTTTTTTT